GTGGTCGAGGCAGTTTTATAATTTTATCCTTTTTCCCCCTGTGCATTGATGAAGCTGTACTATTCTTGTAATCAAGGCATTTTTCGGTCTCCTCTCTTGTCTGTAATTTATTTCTTCCATATTTCAATTCTTTTTTCCAGATTCAGATCGGCCACTATTTTCTGCTTATTTATCGTAACCTTTCTACATTTTTCATTGCTTCTAAACTAGTCTTCCATCTCCTTGATTGATGTATGCATTCTAACTTCTTTAAATATTCCTTCACTCGTTCGTGATTATCGGAGGAACGGCAATTCAATCCCAACCCCATGGTACTTTTCATTCCTTAGTGAATATACCTTAAGTTGCCATGCTTGAAGGTCTTACAATGTTCCACATTCATTCACAGACCCGTATAAACTTAACAGAACGACGCCGCCTATACATGACATAGTCACAATTAACCCAACGTAATTTAAATCCTTACCCAGCGCTCCCACGCTCCTGTACCCTCTCCACCCACGCATCCGCCAATTTACCGTTGTGCCTGCAGGAGACTGAACTTCCAGAACTAGGTGCGCCCCACGCACTGGCAGAACTGGAAGCGGGACTAGCAACAATTATAAACTTCTCCGGCCTTATCGGGAAAATCCATGTTGCTATGGATGCATGTTTGATGATTACCACTTGTCCTAATTCTACATGACCCGAACTAGGGTAATCAATCGTTAAACCTTGCTTACCGACCTTCCGGTATGGCGTAGGGGTAGGAGTTTTATGGGATCATGGTTACGCACGAATTGTCGAGTCTAAATGGAATACATTTGATTTCTTTTTCGTCTTCCAGGTCATGGTGGATGATTACATGGTGGGTGGGCGATCAAGTGTACCTCTGTACCCGGACTACGATAAAATGCCTTTTTCGTAGCAAGGGCGTTGATTTCGCGGCACGGGAGGAACAGTCTTCGAGAAGAATATGCTCGGTTGACTACTCGGGGAGGTTGGCGGCAGATCGGAAAGGACCTCGGAGGAGATATGTGGGGCCTTTCAAGATTACGAAAGGGCCGTGGGTGGAAGGGGACAGCTAGTGCCCGAAATGCTGAAGATGCTGTAGGCTGTCACATCTTTACAACGGGTATTTACATGTCTCTATGGGCTTGACGGATGTGTGGAAGTGCATCGACCGGAGGTTCTAGATTTGTTGAGAAAGATCCCCGGGGGTGCACAAACACCCAACTATTCAGAACTGGAAGACTACACATCCGGGGTAAGATCGAAAGGAAGCTTGCTGTAAGAGTGGCAGATTTTTTCCGTGAAACCCGATCACGGTGATTACACCGCTCATATGGGATTAAACATAACTGTTTGTGTGTGTATTTCCTCATGGATGCATATTATTCCTGTATTTAGAGATCATATCCACCCTTGAATCGATGCGCTTCCCAACTTTTTCCAAGTTGTCCGTTGAACACATCCACCCTTACTTCCGCACGAGTGTCTTACCTGAATGCTAAGAAACACCCGCTGCCAGCATTCGCTATCAATACGGGCCACTCTATGTAGGCAAGAGGGGGCAGTAAAGTTGCAATTGGCCCAGTGGGCTGTCGTCCCCGACAAACAGGATAATTGCCTTCGTCGAGCAATGCTCTCATGCGTTACCGGGAAGAAAAATAAAGGAATTTTGTGGCTACTTCTTGGCCGGGTGTCCTCTAAGTCTGACGGCACGTATGGCCGGTGGGGTAAGATTTTATAAGTAATGAACGGAGCCATTGAAAGAGACAATTTAAACCCAACTGGAGGGACAATACGGCTAAACGCCAATCTCGTTAACTTCCGAAGAGGGGCGTGAGGGGGCTGTGAGGCTGCTGTTGGGAAGAAAAGAGGTTAAACCTGAAGCAACAGGCGGGTACGGTGGCACACCTCTCTTCGGGGCTGTTATTGAAGGCCTTGAGAGAGTAGTAAAGCTGCTATTGCAACGGGAAAAAGCCAAAACCCATAAGCCGGATAAGAAATGATAAAACACTACTCTTTTCGGTTGTTGAAAGTAGGTATGAGGGGGTGACGAGGATGCTATTGGGAAGGGGGGGTACCAACACCAACGCTCGTGAAAAAGCCGGCTAGACAACACTCTCGTTGGCTTCCCAGAAGGGGTATCAGGAAGTGCTGAAGCTCGTAATGGAACGCGAGAATGTCGGCACCAAAGCAAACCCAACAAAGAGGGGTTAGAAGTAGCCCCTGCTGGCTGTAGATAGGGGCATGATGAGTTGCGGAGCTACAAGTACTATGGGACGGGAAGACGTCAACCCTGATATGCCAGACAACGATGGCCAAACACCGCTCCAGTGGGCTACCAGAACTGCGCATGATGGAGCAGTGGAGCTACTATTGGGACGGGAGACATGCGCCCCAATATGCACGATCATATTTTGGCAGAACACTGCCTGCGGCGCTATTAATGGGTATGGGGGGTAGTGAATCTCATATTAGAAGGAGAGGATGATAAACCCCATATGCTAGACTAAGCTGGTGGGACGCCGCTCCCGTGGGCTTCGTGGAGGTGGCGTGAGCGTGTGGTGAAGCTACTGCGAGCCAGCTATTCCGTAAACCTCCACATACTTTAACCCTAAAAAGGCATTTTCTTTCCCACCATCCTTGAACACCGCTATGCGCAACTTCTCCACTCCTACACACACGTCCATATTTCCTTCCTACCGCTTCCACCTCCCTACAGCGTACGACAACCCCACACCCATAGCTGTCTTTTCCTTCTTTCCTTCAGGATTTCACTTAAAATTCTCCTTTGAAGTCATTTCCGCCCGTAATCAAAGCTTAGAACTCATATCATGATACATACCCACCTAAACCTTTAATTGGGATTCGCTAGTGGTCAACTGTGGATTTACCAGTTTTTCGTCTTACGTTTGTACTTTTAAACAACAAGGATTACGGCAGCAATTTAGACAATGTTGACTTAGGCAGAGCAAAGATGTAAAGATGAATTTCAATATCCAAACTGGAGAAATATTCTCACAAAGAACGATAGGGAATAAAATATAACGGGAAAGACTGCAATGACCCAAATGCGAGTAACGGAGGCAAGAGAGACAGATTGGATAACAAACAAAAACAACTAACAAGGGAAAACAAGCTGCCTTTTATCCTCCCCGAGATCATACTGATCTGCTTCCCCATACTTCCAGCGTATGCCGTGTTCTCTATCACATTTGGTTTCATTATTGCCCATTGTGCCGCTCCGGCCGAGGATAAGTGAATTTGACTGAGGGTATACTCTGGTCAAGGACATTCAGCATTTCCATATGATAGGGGTAACACCCTAATATGGAGTTGTCACAGGTATCGTCGCAGATGTTGTCGCATATGGTGTTTGATGTGGAGGGCTAACCAGTAGTCGAACATTGAGACGTCGGAGTAGTTAATACCAAAAGGGTTAGGGTTGTGTGGTCATTGCCATAAGGGAAATGTGCGGTGAGCAGCCAAGAAACACTTCTGTCCAACATGTACTCGTGTGTGTGTGCGAGTGAGTGTGCATTATTCTTGTTATTATGGAATATCTCAATCTCAGATTTTTGTTTTTGTTTTATATTTTCCGTTTATCTATTTTGCATTCAGATTTTGACTGGTCATAATTTCCTGTATGTTGATGCAGACATTTCTACATTGTTTATCGTCCTCAGCCCCCCTTCCCTCTCCCTCGAGCGATTTATGCATGCCAGCCCCCCTCATGTATTCCTCCCCTCGTCCGTAATACTATACTAACTTATCCCTTGGGTGGTGTGGAGTAGTGGGATTTTGTACCGGGCACCGAGAACCAAGGGTAGCTGTGAGATAGCTGTTGGTAACGATGTTGGACTTTCCCCATCATAACTGACTCAGCACATCTAGAGCGGCCGAATTCCTAGCGAATGACAACACCCAACTCATTTCATATCCGGCTCAGCCTGCCTGGCAACGATTTTTACTGTTTCACACCACCCAAGGGAGAACACTTGATCCCTGGAAAAACGGACATGTAAACGAAAACAGAAAAACACTACTCGAGTAGACCGCGCTCTGGAGTCATCTGTTTCCTCATGTCCCTTGCTCCATGTAGTTCTGACATGGACAGATACTTGTTTAAGGACTAATTGGCGAAAGGTCTATGAGTATCTGAGTACAGTACCCATACAACCATACAAAACTGTCTTTGGGCTGTGCTTTGGTCTGACTTTGGTCTGACTTTGGTCTGACTTCGGTTCAGGATGCTATTTATGCTCGTATCAGTACCGTACTACTTACGGTACTGAATCTCCTTGCCGGGATGCAACCAGCAAGGTTCAGGGCACATGCCACAATTGTGCTGCGGCACCTGAGCACTAGTAACATCACTCATGTCATGTTTTCAGCCCATTCCAGGTTGGCGATATGATAGGTATCACAGATGGTACTTTATCATACTCGGTATTCGGTACCAAGGCTAGGGTTAGGGTTTCTAGGAACCTTGTCCAAAGAATTCAGCCTGCCCAACGTAAGCCCTTAGTTCTAATGAGCCACCGACGGAAGGCGCGCGCCGTTCTCATATTTACTCACTCAAATGTAGGCTGTTAACCGAACCAGTGCTATCTCATCTAGGAAAGCACAGGCACATTGGGAAGCGAGGAGACTGTGTTCCGGGCCGCAACATTTGACCTAGGGAAAGAGGACCACCAATCAAAGCTGTGTCGAGCGTAAAACTGCCACCACAGCCACAACTTACCCTGATTCTATCAAAACCCCCAGTTTTTCGCGATGCTCACCAGGAACGGTGGATGAGTGCTAACCATAGTCATCCTTGACAATGCAGGTATTGCCTTATTGTACCGGCAATAGCATCGCTACGATTGACTCAAGGATTTGCGTCCTTCATAGCGAGATAAGGTGACATAAATACCCTTCGAGGTCCCACGATATTGAAGAAACCATCCTCTCGGACATCTCTTAACAGCACTTCACTTGAAAGCCACATTACCACCCTCACAATATATTTTCAATCTTCCGATTCCCACAATCCCTATCATATTATCATCCACTTTTAATACAGACTTCCCAACCCAAATATCAAAATGAAGACTGCTATCTTCTCCTCTGCCCTCGCTATTTTCGCTACCTTGGCCACTGCCCTCCCCACCGCAGCCCCCGCAGAGACCTCGGTAGAGAATCTTGTCACCCGCGACCAGGTCAAGCAGGTGATAAACTCCAGCGCCGTGGTCAACATCAACGAAGACACCCCCGGTACCGCTCTCGGCGTTACCAACAAAGCGATAGTCTCCCGCGTTGACAACAAGCACAACTCCCAAGCTCTCGTCAAGTTCGACTTCCCCGAAGGTATTACCGGGTCTGAGTGCCGATTGGCATTCGCCTACTCAACTCAGTTCAGTGGCACCGGGGAGATCCAGGTGTTCGCCATTGGTGACGCGAACATCGCGGGCGCGACCTTCGATCAGAGACCTTTCAGAGATCAGTTCAAGGGTTCCTTCCGTGTTTCCGGGTGGGGTGAGGCTACAGTCGTTGATGGCTCCGGCTTGACCTTCGATTGCCCTGCTAAGGGGGCTAAGGCATATGAAGTTGTTTCCATTGGAGATAACAATGAGGTTGTCTGGTATGCGCCTTGGGGTGGATTGAGAATTGATGTCTTGTAAAGGCGGAGAGAGGTTGTCGGCGAGTTTTTGCTAGCACCATGGTTTTTATTTCATTCTCCTTGGGTCGATTGACACTTTTTTCTTCCTCTTAAGCATTGCATTGCGTGGTAGCGGGTTGGGTTTTCATTTCATTCTGGGATCCGAGGACTCTGGTTGCGGTTTTATTGGCTTTAATCAGCATGAACACGATTAGTATTAGATCATATAGTCGAGATAGATTGGAGGAAATATACACTTTGAACTTGAACCTTTTCTAAAGGTGATTCGGTCTTACCTATGAGAACTATGAGCAGTTGCGGAACAAGAGTCACAATAGGCTTTGATTATTGCCAATACGGCTACTGCCCCGATTGGTTGTTGGGTTAGATAATCTCCTAGTAGTGGTTTAACTAGTGTAATTTAGGTGCGAAGCTAAATCATTTATCGACTATAGCCGCGAACCTAACCTATCTCACATACCCGTCTTAGTGTCTATGGGGAACACCGAGTAGCCGAGTCAGTAGCTTTACTATCTTGGACAATGAGGTACGGCTGTACGAGTACGAGTACTCTCTCTAAGTTCTATTCCGGATGCTGTTAGGAATAATATTGTCATCCCCAGCACGGTAGCTCAAGCTGCTACTCGCTGAGATGTAATAATCTACCGCTAATCCGTTTCAGGATAGAACCGGTAGATTAAGCTGGATTAAGAATATTTGTCCACCACACGTGTAACGGTACTTGTACCCTAGTACTTGTACGAGTACTGGTACAGTACAGTTGTACCGCCTTAACCAGCGAGATTAGCCTACTGCTACCGCTGCACTCGTACCGGCACCCCAGAGGCTTTTGAAATCACTACCCTCGAGATCCCCGCAATCTCCAGATCCTAAATCGAAAGCTCCCGAAAGGATTAACCTTTTCCCGACGCTGTATAACATTGGCCCAGTGGACTTGTTTGAACTTGCTAACCGATATTCGCCATTTCGATAACCTGTAAAACAGAACAGTGCACTGACGGGGGGATTTCCGTTGATAATCTCATAGTGAAGTTCAAGAGTTTTTACGGGTATGATACTCAAGTATCATACATTGAAATACGTAAGGGCTTTCTCGGTAATCTCTCGAATTCGCAACAAAGCATCTTTCGCTGACCCTGTATGGCCAAGAGCAGGTCTATTCTGGAACATCTTGGATGTTTTCACTTCGGTTCATACTTTATTCCGAGGTACTGGGGACAGGCAAATCTCGCCGGTAAAATGCAGCAGTTATTGAGCGGTTGTGGGTGAGTGGTTAACTTGTTTTTCTTGCTGGAATAGCTCTTGGGAAATAGTATTCGTTTGAGAGTCCGAGTATAATATTACTGTTAGCATAATTATCCCAACATAGCGATGCAATGGGGCGTACTTCTTTCGCAATACTAAACTACCAAAATCACAGCTGAAAGATATTCACAAATAAAGTAAGTATATAATCCTAATTAATATCTTGTATACTGGGGGTTGTCCGTTGTGGGAAAGTACAAGGGACAAGCATAAATTCATAGTACAGAGCATGGGGTAAGAATGTGAATTTGGAAAGGACTACCGGGTGAGCTGACTGTGTCAAACAATGTAACTTGATCATATGATACCCAACAACCAGGTTTCTCCATAGCTTCTAAGTAAAAAGAAAAAAAATATCAGCACTAAGAACATGAATGTGACCAGTTTGACTTAATATAGTAGCATGACACAAAAAGGTATCATGACTATTAGAAAAATAGCTAGCAATAAAAATATAGATTTGAAGCATAAATAGTTGAATAGATTTGGCATCTAAGTAAAAGGTAGTTGGAACACTTTGCTACAACAATGGCTTCCTACAGGTTTACAGCAACAGATTTTCCTAATACTCGGGCTCTATTTCCTCTACTTTCAAGTTTTTCATCCTCAGCCCATTTATCTCATAATAAATCTAAAACAACCACTGAATTGGCTAAATTCCTCCATTCATCTTCTTCTCAGGATCTCACTCCTACAACACTACTCTCTCTTTCACTCTCCTCTCTATCAAATCCATTCTCTCTGAAATCATCAACAATCTTATCCTTATCTGGTATTTTTTTTTTTTTCTATTTATTTATATTCTTTAGTACTTATGCTTCTGTTCTTTTTTCAGAATTTTTAAATTAACTAGTGCATCTGGTTTATTAAAATAGAATTATACTATTAGCCAAGCATTGTTTCTGTCAAAATAATGTTTTCTTTATTTTCTTTTTTTTAAAGATGAGGGAGACTTGTTGTGTGGGAAAAAAAAAACCAAACCCTAAATCTTCCATCTTTCACTCGACCTCCTCTAACCTAACACCTCCACTTCTATCTTTTCTACTTTGTCAAATCCACTAACCACCACAGTTTCTCTCTTTTTATGCCTCTATTACTTTCTATATTTTTTCTATTTTTTTTATTTCTTAGTTAATATTAAAAACTTTTTCTTTCTCTTTTTCTCCTAAATTGTTTATCTCTGCAACTCTTATTCCATTATTTTTCTTCTTTTTCTTTCTCTAACTTACAGCTACTAGACAAACATGTTCGTGATGTGAGATATGTATAATTGCGCCAAATGGCACTATATGTCTGTGCGGTGGGGTATTGATAGTAGAGTTGTCACTTCCTTGGGAGAGAAACAGTCAATAGGTAATGATAGGTAGCTAAGTGCAAATTATTAGACTGTGGAAGTAAATTAACAAGAATATTATTGTCGTTTCACAGTTGCGGGTGGCACTCGACATCCAGGATCCACTGCGAGCCGCTACGAGTAGCCTTGTTAATTGTTGACAACTACTTCTCCAAGTCTAATAATTCTATATAATAAAATTTAAAGAATATGAAAGACCTCCTACTATAGAATTTAATACTTAGTATACTCCCCTCTCACTTCAAAAACTGCTACTACCCTGTTTGGCATAGATTTCTAGAGTATTTCAAAAGTTTCTAGAGGAACTGTCTCCCAGACCAGAGGTAACACCTCAGCCAACCTCTTCTTTACTGCCTCCTTTCCTCCTGAGGTATTAGATATCCTAGGATACTGCTGATATGGATGCTTTTTAAGCTCTATCCATGTATGCTCAATATGATTCAAATTTGGGAAATAATGGGTGTGCTTCATAATATCAACATTGTTATCTTCTAGCCAATCCCTTACATTTTAAGCCTTGTGCATAGGAGAATTGTCTTGTTAAAAATAGAAATCATAAATACCAGGAGCAAGCATTTGATAAATAACAGGAATAAGATGCCTTCTTAGTAGTCTAATATACCTGTTTTTGTTTATCATTCTAGTAATAGGAGTAAGAGGGTCTTTCTTCTTATCCTACAAGTATTCCTATACTATAAGTAATATCCCCTTATTCTTCTCCTTAGAGTAAACACACTCAGCAAGCCATTTCTCTCCTGGCTCCCTAAATACCCAAATTTATCTAGGATCTTTTGACTTCTCCATACTGCATTTATCACTCTATATGACTCCTTCAAAATCCTCAGCAGTCTAATCTCTATAAGCCATAGTCCATCTAAGTCTCTTAGTAAAGTGTTTATTCTGGAGCTTAGGCCTTGACTTTACTATCCATTTTTTCAAATTGGCATCTCGGAGTACTCGATCAACTAAACAATTAATATTAGCTGTGCGATCATGAACTATCACTCCTGCTAAAAGCCATGCTGATTGCAAGAGAGACTCCATGTGTATAGTGATTTCTAAAATCACTTCTATTTAACTTATGGTTAGCTTTAGCAGCTTGAATAATTGTTGAATGCTGTTGCTGACTCAAGACACAGGGGCAACCAGACTGGGAAAGGTTCTCCAGAGATAAGCACTCACAGGCACAAGCCAAAAAACTCTTCACAGTTGACCAGGGATGACCGATGATTTTAGCAACCAGATATATGCTTCACAAGTAATAGAAAAAGTCAATTATCATACTTCTTTCTGTTGCAGTCATTTCCTTTCGCATAGTTTTTAGCAGTTTCTTTTTAGGAACAGCATACTTTTATTTTCCTGATCAGTTAACTATTGTGTTACAGAAGACTATAGTACTCGAATTATTGGTAGGATTAGAGTACAGCAGTAAAGAATCACAGCAGTAGGGAATCATGCCTGGCAATGTTTGGAATCATGGAGGATAGATAGTAGAATTATATTAAAAAAAAACAACATGGTCAACTACTCTACACTTTGGTGAGGTATGCTGACTAATCTGACTATCACGAACACTTTTATCTAGTGGCTGTATATTATACTTTGTTTTAATTTTTAATTTTTAGTTGTAATTTTTATTTTAACTGTTTCTCACTTTTTGCATTATTTGATTATTTATATTAGGTTTATGCAATCAGCTCCTGTTTTTTTTTTTTTTTTTTTTGACTTATATTTTCTTTGATGATACAAGAGAATTTATATCTAAACCTATCAATTGAATCAGATAATTTACCTTAGATTGACATTCCTGATAGTGTAACTTCTACTATCTGCTATGAGATTTCTCCTTCACTCTATTCCAAGTTTTGAGTATTAAAGCTGTTTACCAGGTAGACTTACAGAAGGATTTCAACAGTTACTGGAGTGGCCCTTACCACTGTTTTTCGAATTTGCTGACCTCTAATTACCCATAAATGACCATCCACTCGTGGCTATAAGAGCCTTCTTGTCTTAGAAGAGAGAAGAAAGCTAATCAATCTTGCCACCACTTCCACAGAGAATCATCTAAAGCTCCTGAGAGAAATTGCCTACATGGTAGGAATTAATGCCTCCAAAAAAACCTGAAGGTACTCTTGAGCTTCAGAAAAATATCACAGACTCTTTGTGAGAGTCAAGCCTTATCTTAAGACTTCTTGTTTGAAAGTAACTATTTCTGTAACGATCCCTCTCTGTATAGTTGGTTCTTGGCGACGGAGAACGATACTTATCGGTTCTATCTCCTTCTCTCCTTGTCCTACGATAGCTCTAGGTCTCTGCCTATGTTACCAATAGTACAAGACCTTTGTCTTCTATCGGGAACGCCTATCGTAAGCTTTCTCTAACTCGTCTTTGTGACGAGCACTTCTTGGCATACTGATAAGGTTGCAGTAAAGATAAAGATCGTAAAGGTGATTTATATTCGTTAAAGTAATAAGTAGGAAAAGTACTTAGAACAAAGCGTGAAGAACCTATCTTCCTCGGCCGCATTGGCCTCCTTATATAGTGT